GATCACATGACTAGAATAAAAAAACACTAGAAATAAGTTCTAATTATTAAGGTCAGACTGAAGATATATTGTAAATAAGAACATGAATTATCGTTAAATTCTTACTGAGTATTTTCGCTCTTCAGTCTGATGATGAACAAACTTATGAACATGTGAAGCAGATAAAAGTTAAAGTTAATGTCAGACTGTTTCTGCTGAAGAGAGGAGAGAAAGAAAGGAGGAGAGAAGTAGCTGATGTCTGATGAGTCAGTCTGACTGAAATGTTCATTTATAATGATGGAAATTATTAACAATGTGTGGATCATTGTTGGTTTAGTTTTTATTTTTCATGTTATTCTGAGCTGCAGTGATGATGAAGAGAGTAAAAGCTTCATCATTCAGGAATCCTGTCGATTCAAGAATCTGTGTTCAGGTCAAATGAAGCTAGAATAGTTATTATGTAGTTCTTTAGTGATAAACTCTACTCTGTTTGTTAGAGGCTCTATTTTAAAACCAGAGTTAAAACATGGAAAGACGCAGACAGGAAAATAATTCCACTGATTTATATAAATATCTACTGCTCATTATTATTTATCACTTAATTGTTCAGTCTTTTGTCCCTGTCAGGATCCCGTAGGAATGATGACTTAATGTTTCCAGGTATCTGATTGGTCAGTAGTTTGGCTGTTGACAGGTTTTGATCTGATCCAGAGCAGGTTAGGAGTTCAGCATCAGTTACCATGGTGATTTGCCCCAGTAACAAGTGAACTGCAGTCGTAGGACTGAAAACAGAGTTAAACCTAAAGAATTTCTGAGTTTTTTTTCTCAGAATATCACCCCACCTCCCCCAGCTCCATATTTCTTTTTTACATATAACAGCTCTAATACACCATCGTACAGGGTCAAGTAAACAGTGTTTCATACATCAACCACAGACCAGCACCAGCATTTAGAAATGAAACCCCTGAATCTGTATTCATGCATCTATAAATACAGACCCTTTCCAAAAAAATAGAATATCATGGAAAAGTTGTTTAATTTCCATAATTCCATTCAAAAAGTTAAACTTTCATAGATTATAGATTCAGGGCCCACAATTTAAACGAATTCAAGTATTTATTTGTTTATTTTTACATAATTTGGGCTTCCAGCTCATAAAACCCACGAAAACAGGAATTCAAAAAATTAGAATACTGTGAAGAAATCACCATTTACTTCTCAGTTTCTGCAGAAAAAAAAGAAAGAAATTAGGATCACATCAAATCAATCAAAATATGGTACTTTCAAAACGATATGTCAATCTTCAATACTTGGTTGGGAATCCCTTTGCCTTAATCACTGCCTCGATGCGACGTGGCATAGAGGCAATCAGCCTGTGGCATTGCGTGGGAGTTATGGAAGCCCAGATTTCCTTGATGCTTGCTGTCAGCTCTTCTTTGTTGTTGGGTCTGGTGCCCCTCATTTTCCTCTTGAGAATACCCCATAGATTCTCAATGGGGTTTAGGTCCGGCGAGTTGGCTGGCCAGTCAAGCACTGTGATGGCATGGGCATCAAACCAGGTTTTGGTGCTTCTGGCGGTATGGGCAGGGGCCAGGTCCTGCTGGAAGATGAAATCTGCATCTCCATACAGATCCTCAGCAGAAGGAATCATGAAGTCCTCTAAAACATTCTGGTAGACTGTTGCGGTGACCTTGGATTTAAGAAAGCAGAGTTTACCAACACCTGCACCGGACATTGCACCCCAAATCATGACTGACTGTGGATATTTCACACTGGACCTCAAGCAGTTTGGGTTCTGTTCCTCACCCGTCTTCCTCCAAACCCTTGGACCTTGATTCCCGAATGAAAGGCACACTTTACTTTCATCGGAAAAGAGGACCTTGGACCACTGGCCAACGGTCCAGTCCTTCTTCTCCTTGGCCCAGTTGAGACGCTTCCTACGTTGGCTCAGGTTCAGAAGTGGCTTGACCCGAGGAACCCGACAGTTGTAGCCCATCTCCCGGACGCGTCTGAATGTGATGGTTTTTGAAGTTGTGACTCCCGCCTCATTCCACTCTTTCTGGATCTCTGCCAGATTCTTGAATCTTCTCTGTTTGATAATCCGCTGAAGCCCACGGTCATCTCTTTTGCTGGTACATCTTCTCCTGCCACATTTTGCCCTTCCACTAGACTTTCCATTGATATGCTTGGACACAGCACTCTGTGAACAGCCAGCCTCCTCAGCTATGAATTTTGTCGCTTACCCATCCTATGGAGGGTATTAATGATGGTCTTCTGGCCAGTTGTCATGTCTGCAGTCTTCTCCATATTGAACCGAACTGAGACAATTGAACCAAACTGAAGCAATTTAATGACACCTGGGGAAACCTGTGCAGGTGCTTTGAGTTTAGTAGATGATTAGTGTGTGACACTCAGTTTAAAACATTCATGCACTGCAAAATTTGGGCTGATTTCTTCACAGTATTCTAATTTTTTGAATTCCTGTTTTCGTGGGTTTTATGAGCTGGAAGCCCAAATTATGTAAAAATAAACAAATAAATACTTGAAATCATTTAAATTTTGGGCCCTGAATCTATAATCTATGAAAGTTTAACTTTTTGAATGGAATTATGGAAATTAAACAACTTTTCCATGATATTCTAATATTTTGGAAAGGGTCTGTATATATAGCCTGATTTGTAAGAAAACTTCACCTCCATGTTTAATTAATAAAATGGTTAATATGTTCATCAGACATTTAGAAGACAACATGTATGTGTTGTAAAAGTCATGTACAGTCATTATACAGTCCATGATCAGGGAGTTAGTCTCGTCAGGCCTAATGCTGCTGGGGTATTGATTTATTTATTTAAAGCATCATTATTGATTTGAACTGGTTTTAAACATTAACATTCTCCAACATTAAATCCAGTTAAATCCATAAATGTTTTATTTATGTGTGTGTGTATATATATATATATATATATATCCAGGAGCATCAGGCTTCAGTCATAGGTAGATTTGATACCTATGACTGAAGCCTGATTTTGGTTTTTACATTAAGAAACATTAAATAAAAGTAAAATGTTCAGTTTCTATTGCGTGAAAACAGTTCTCAGTGTTAATGATAATTATCAGAGCGACAGAAGAACAAGGTAAACAGCTCATGTGCAGTGTCCCTGTTCAATGAAGAAGATATGAAATATGAATCATATATGTAGCAGGCATGTAAGGGATAACAGCTGTACCTTCCATTATTGTAATCTGATACAATCATCCATGTGCATTCTGTTTATACCATGACGCCAACAATCTGCCAAATGAAATAAAACACAGAATATCTGACACATACAACAGATTCTGATCTGAGGTTACTGTTTTAAACATCATAGATTATAGTGAAGGGTTCACAGCAAAGACGTAGGTTTGCATATGGACGGTAGGGACATGTCCCTACCAATATTTTGGGAGGACAGAAATGTCCCTACAAATATTTGAGTGAATTTGTTTGCACTGTTTGGATTGAAGTCACATTAGATCATTACAATGTGCCCTCCAAGAGGCTACGTCTCCAAGACAGTTAATTTAGGCATGCTAGCATTTGATTGGCTGAAAGGACTGGGGCTATCTGAAGGCTCACGTCATGTGAGAATATCAGTGGTACCTGATAAAAAAAAAAAGTAAATGTCTTTATTTTGGAGGGGGCCGGAGCTACCAACATTGAGACCACAGGGTCCAGGTTTGACACCACTGAAGGTTTAAAACCTTCTGTTCTGTCAATCTCAGGAACAGAGATTGACCCCACATCTCTGTCTATCTCTCTGTCAATTCAATTCAACAGGCCAAAGCACAATTATGAATGGAATTAAATGGAGAAAATTTTTATTGAACTTAAAAAAAAAACTGTCTTTTTAACAGTGGACTTTCTTGAACTTTAAATCCAAGAGAAAAACAAATAAAAAAATTAATTTAAAAAACGTAGCTAACCAGCTAGACAGATAGATAGATGGATAGATATTTTCTCATCGTAATAATAATTTCACAAAGCATGTTTATGTAATGTTTTAGAAAAGCTAGTTTGCAGTAAGACATCGACCCTGGCAGCAGCTTGTTGATAGTGAAGAGAAAAAAGAAAAAGCATAAAATAAAAAAACAAAAGCGCTGTGTCTCTAGTTTTTCCACTTATACATGATATAAGTTAATGATATGTGAGTATGGGACAGCAGCTGAACAGGGTGTGGTCTCTCTGACTGTAGAAAAAACTGCTCAAGATGAATGCAGCGCAATAATCATTTTTTCTGGATTGTCTTGTTTACATCAGCCAGCCCTCATTTACCATATGACTACTTTTAACCTCTTCTTCAACACCAATCAGTCATTACCATGGTTACAGGCTGTGAGCACTGGCTGCTTTATTTCTCATCAAACTGGTCTTTACATTAGATCTGATGTTAATACTAATAAACGAGACACATGTAACATGGATCAGGGTTTGAAACATATTGAAGTGGGTTTAAAAGGAGCCAGTGGATATACAGAACATTGTTGTCTTCACTACATTCTGCTCTGATATGGTGGTTGTTGTTTAAAGTCGCAGTGCGCAGAGTGACGGTGTGTTCTGGTCTGCAGGTCTGCGGAGATGCTGAGCTGCTGCTGTGATTCAGCTGCTGTGACTGAGGCTTTCAGGGTCTGTGAATACTGAAGCTGACTGTGAATCCACACAAGACCTCTCCTCAGAAACACACAGGTCCACTCAGAGTCTCCGGAGCTCCTCATCACTGCTCCCCTTGTGGGGTTGCTATGGCACCTGCTGTCACAGAAACCAAGTGCTGGACACAGGCTTGCCCCAGTGAGGCAGGACAGACCACGAGTCATCGCCATCAGAAACCATCCAGCAGTCAACAAGCAGCACTTAGCACTGATTTTAGTCCTTTGAGTTAAGGAGCAGAGGTCTGCAGGCTGATGGTGAGCTCTCTGACAACACTCATGAGTCTTGTCTGTGTGCTCTCAGGCTCTCAGCCAGAGTCCCTGTGCAGCAGCAGAGCCAGCACTGTCCCTTCTGCCAGACCATGTTCCACCAGCAGGACCCTCTGAAGACCCCCCAGCAGGAGAGCCACGCAGCCAGCAGGCAGCTCTTCCACTGCCACCAGTGTGGGAAGCAGTATAACACCCAGCTGGGTTACAGACGCCACCTGGTGGCAGCCCACAGCGCCGCAGCAGGCCTGCCCTGCCCAGAGGGGGCGTCGTCACTGCTGGAGCACCTGGGCAGCCATATAGAGCGGCCAGCTCCGTTAGAGGGCAACACGAACGCCACAGTGCCAGTGAGAGAGAGGAAGTACTCGTGTGAGAGGTGTGACCGCCGCTTCTACACCCGTAAGGATGTGCGGCGTCATGCTGTGGTGCACACTGGGCGCCGTGACTTCCTGTGCCCGCGCTGTGCTCAACGCTTTGGCCGCAGAGATCACCTGACCCGCCACTTGAAGAAGAGCCACGCCCAGGAGTCAGGGTTGATGCCACCTTGTGCTCCCAGTACCCCTGTTGCTACGCCGACCCCCGCCACGCAGTGCACCGTGAAGGAGGAGCCCAGCCCTGTGACCTCTGACCTGGTCCCCGTCTCCAAGGAGCCCTTGGAGACATTCTCCAGGGACATGTACAACTCCTACCCCATGGCCAGTCCTGTCCCTGGGATGGGCCATCCTCATGGCCTCATGCAGGGCTCCTTGTCCTCAGGCATGGGTGTGGGTCGCCACATGCCCCCCCAATCTTCTCACCACCATCACCTGCAGCCTCCAGCAGCGGCGCAGCAGCAGTCCTACAGCAACATGACAAGGTACCAGCACGGATCTACCTCATATCCTCGCTCCGACGTGGACAGCTTCCTGCTGGACCTGCAGAGTGCCCCCCCACCTCACCTGAGTGCAGTCAATTCCTCTACCTCTACTTCTGCCTCCCCCCAGAGGGAGGTGCTGGGTGAAGGCGTGGGCTCTGGCGGCGAGTCTCACCTTCTGTGCCGGAGTCCTGCTGTGTCCTCAGCCGAGCTGTCCTGCTCCACCAACATGGACCTGGGACCTCTGCTGGGGTTCCTGCCTTTCAGCCTGCCACCCTACAGCCCCCACATGGGGATGGGGGGGTTAGTGATGAGCTATCCACCCACCACCACCACCACTTCCTCTCCATCTTCCAACACTGGGCTGTCCTCCCAGGCCCCAGGGCCTTTCACCTTCTTCCAGCCTCCCCAGGTTCACGTACCCCAGGGCCCTGGAGCCCACAACCACAGCCAACTACCTCAGGCCTACAGCAGTCCTGCTATGAGCACTTCCAGCTCCCTACCTCACTACTACCAGGCTTTTCAGCAGTGAGCAGCTCTGTCCCACAAACACTCATGTTTCATGAAAAGGGCAAAACATCTGTATTGTAAACCAGATGTGTAACTTTAGCCTGTCTGTGTTTTTTATGCTAATCTTAGGAGTTTTTTGTTAAACACAACAGATCACCTCATCAGTATTACCTCATTACTTTAAAAGGAAGATTGAACATTTGAGGAAATGTAGAGGGTCTCACTACAACCAAAACACTTACCTGTTCTTGTCAGACCTGTTTCCAACAGTGGACGCACTTCACACACGTCACACGTCTCAGGTGCTGAGTCATTCAGGTTTAGCTCGTCATAGAAACACTGTTATTTCCCCCCTTGAAGAAAAGGTGACCCTCCTTACCAAAGCTGACTGACTGGAGCATGAACAGCCTCACACAGAGGGGAGGGGCTGCTCAGTCACTGTCATTGAGTGTCAGTGTGATGACACATGCAGTGAAGAGCCCCCCAGTCATGATGTGTCCCAGTGCAGCAGCTGGACACATCAAACAACATGTATAGAATCAGACCTGTAAATGTGTGAAGGTGCAGTCAGCACCAGTTACACTGTTAACCTGTACATGTAATATAGGTACCTTTTGTCTTTTTGCTATATTCTGTAGCATCAGTAGATTAGAAAGCACTTAAGTTTCACTCTCAGCATCGTAGCTCATTACAGGTCAAAGTCAGTCACAGAGGCAGGAAGCTGGAGTTCAGACAGAGATGCTGCTGACACCACGTGTCCCTGAACTCCACACACTGAATGAAATCTATGAGGTATTATTAATCATACAGTTTAGTTGAGACACACACACACACTCACACACACACACACACAGACAGCTGTGATGTCCCTGTCACACACTCACTCAGGTGTGTTGTCACCTGGTCGTAGGTCATCTGTTCAGTGACTAACTGTCCATGTTCCTGAAATCAGAGACTCAGCATCATGTTTCTCTGAACATACTGTAAATTTCCCCACAGATCTATGCAGAGAAAGGTGTTATGGGTAACTAGGTCGCAGAGGAGCCAACGCGCACACTGCAGATGCGCATGTCTAACTGACCAGATGAAATCAAATGTAAATGTTCTACAAGTGTGAAACAAAAATGTTAGATCACCTGCAGCCAAAACCTGAAGTGCTAACTGTCACTGCCATCATTGTTTTCCAGCTCACCTGTCCACCTGTCTGCTCACACCTTGTGTCATAGTGAGGAACATACAAGCACTTTGCAAATGTTTATCTATACATTCATACATACATACATACATACATACACACACACACACACACACACACACACATATATATATATATATATATATATATATTTATATCCAGTCATGTCCTATTCCATATGTCCCACAGTTGCAGCCCTGGTCACATGAACTGACCCAGGGCTCTTGGGACATCATTAAAATATGAGCAGCAGGTGTAACTGACCGACCTACTTTGAATGCAGCATGAATTCAGTGAAGGCCTTCCAGAGCACTTGTATCTGTGTCCTTTTACTGCTGGTGTTGACCACAGGAGGTTCTGATGGGGGTGGGACTGAGTAGGACTGAGAGTGGACCCCCCTCGCCCCCCCCCCTCCCCCCCCCCCCCATGTCCCAGCTGCAGGAGAGGAGAGCAGCTGGTCCTTTAACAGTTTCAGTGCAGCATGACAAAATGACACCAGCAGCCTTCACTGTATGGACGCTCCACTCCTGAGTGGTACACTATGAAGTGATTGTCATGTTTAGAGAGGAGCGTGGTCATTGGACAAACCTTCTCTCTCCCGCCTTAAATTCCCAACCAAGAATGTTTGCGCTCAGTGTTGCACCAATGTCTTAAAATGCTACTGTCGTGCCTCTCTAAGAGCATCTGATCTCTGGACTGGGTTTAAGCACTTATGACATTTTTAAAAAGGATGAATCTGATCTGTACCTCACACATGCAGAACTGTGGGTTTCTGTGATTTCTATTTGCTTTTAGTTATTTTGGCTCTTACTTGTGCCATTAGATTTAAACTATAAAGGTAGATTTTGTGAATCTAAACTCTTTATCTAGTGGCAGACATTGACATGATAATTCAGTAAAACTTTCTACCTCTACCTTGTCATATATCTTTCTGCAAAAATCATTAGAAATAGTTTTAACCAGTTAGGCAGTTTGTACCACTGAAGATTGGGCTGTGTTCGAAATTGAGCTCTGAAGGACCAGGTTCACACTCCAGGTCCTGGTTTTGTGTTCCAGAGTCAAACATAGTCCTCTGTACTTGCCTTTAATGATATTTCTACTTATTTACTACCTCAGAGAAGAGACAGGAGACTGTCTGTCTAACTGCAGAGAAGATGACTGTGTATAGTTTATTTTTGTCAGGACAAGCACATGTACTTTGTAGCTCTATAGTTTTTACTGAGGTTAGCTCACAGCATAACCAAGTCTAGCTCAACAAGAACCATGTGTGATGTTGTGTTGTGGTGCTGCACCTCTGCCTCTTCAGTCTGGAATGTGTGTGGTGTTAATGTACAGGTGTGTACAGGTGTGTTCAGGTACTGTCCTCACTGCTGTAATCACGGTCCTGTTCTTATGATGTGTTATTATGAAGAACTTCTCCTCTGCTTCTTTACATATCATTGTAACATGTTTACTTCAGTCAGACAAGAGAAGCAGTGTGAGCACATCAGTTTATAGAACAGTGAATAGAGAAGAACTAACTCAGCCTCCACTCCTGTCTGATCATCAGTGATCAGCTGCTGCAGCGTCTGGACACACCTGGCTCAGGGAACATCAGCTGGGACCTCCCCTCTGTTGTAGTATCACAGCTACATTATCAGACTGTGGGGCCCCTCGCTGCCCCACACTCTGATAATGTAGCTGTGATGGTGGGTCATTTGGTTCATTATAAACTGAACAACCAGATCACATCACTACAAACACAGGGTGGGTGGGGCAGACAGCAGGAGTGTGACCAATAGCAGGCCTCCTTGTTTTCAGTGACTCAGGGACCTTCACTCATTTACATGTTACATCACTATGTTGGGACATGTCTGCTGTTGTGATGTGTGTACACCACCTAGCACCAGGTGAAGCATCCCAGACTGACCACAGAGAGGCGGAGCAGGTGGAGGACACAGGTTCACTTGATGATCTGTCAGTACTGTCTGTTCCCTGCAGGAGGGTCGGCTCAGAGAACTGCCACCACTCAGGTTTCATCAGCTGTAACGTAGACACGTTTTGCTTTAGCTGTTTGTATTATCACTTAATAGACTAGAGTACAGTGAAAAGAAAAGGAGTTGTCGTTTTCTAATTATCTGAACATAAAGTAATACAAAATAAATAAATCTTTAGATTTCACTGTGTCTCTGAGTTTTACTGTGGTGGAGGGTGGTCAGACATGAACCAAAGTTAGGTTATACTAACCTCCAGGATCCTGACAAACCAGCATAGATTCATTACAGTGTCACCAGGACATGACCCATTGTGGGGATTTTCGTAGTTTTGACTTGATCATGATACTGACTGAAAAGCCTCTTTACAACTTGACCAGAGATGGTGGGAAGAGAAACTGATGTTGGTGTGAGACAGACAAAATCTGGCTGCTGCTGACATGGAGCTCACTCAGCAGAGAGACATTAATAAAGTGGATGTGGAGCAGGAACTTTACGAAGATTAAGAAAGTGCACGACAGACTGGGGCTGCAGTCAGAGACATACAGGTCTGTCAGCACCTGCAGGGCAGCTTATAGCTGTTCTGATGCTGCTTTGGAACGGTTAGAAGATAAAACTAATAATGCACCATGACGTGATATTTGTCAGCACTCATACCTGTGAAATAATTTAGACGAGCTTCTGTTTGAAGTTCAGTTTAATATACAGACTGCACAGTAAAGGGTTCCTGAACATGGAAATGAGGATGTTGATATATAAACAGTCAGATCACAAACAGTAAACATTGAAATTCTGCAGACTAAAGCCGAAGGTAAAGGTATGTCAAGAATAGTGGAACATAAAGGACACAGGAAGTCCACTCTGTCTCAGGATTTGACATATCTGACTAGTCAGACACTACACAACATGGTGGACAGTCACACTGTGGTTGTCCTGAATCTGCTCAGGTTGTCCCTTGGAGATGTTCTATGGGGAATACACCGTCACATAGTGATGTATCTCAAGGAAACAGGATTAATACAGAGAATTCAGTTGTTTTTTCCACACTCCAGTGCGGTAGGTGGCAATAATGCACGTGCAAGCTGGTTGCTAGCCGCCAATCAAACAAGAAGAAGAAGACACAGAAGAAGACCATTGAGAACAATCATTTGCTCAGATTCAAGTTCACCACTTCCCAGCTTACAGTTCAAACAGCAGAACAGATATCTTATTAGAAGCACAACAAACACTGTACAGAATTCACATGATGGAGCCTACAGTGACATTTTATGGATACAAGCTCTCATGGGCATTACAGCGAATTAAATGGTGGCAAAGGAGGCAAAACAACATAATCTCATCCATTAAGAAGTTAGATTATGCAAAGGTAAAAAAAAAAATGGTAAAAGCAATGGGAGGAAGAAAGAAAAGAATGATGTTACAAAATCTGGAGGAGAGTGGGAGATGTTGGGTTTGCAAGAAGGGACAGAAGTGATGAAAATATAATATCAAGAACCAGACACTGGACTGAACACCACACTTTATAAAATCAGCAAACGCAATGCAGGCAAATGTGAATACTGTGGACAAGAGCAAACAGTGGAGTGTGGTTTGTTTCATTGTGAACAATATCAAACAGAGAGAATGCACATTATTCAAAATTTGAGAAATATAGTAATAAAATTTGAACTAATAGATGTTCTGCAAAAGAACTCAAAGGAATGCTTTCAGATCTTATTCCAGTATGATTAAGTGGATATGAGTTTAGTTTAGTTTAACTAGACTTCCTGATCCACACTCCATTCCAGTTGGTGGCAGTAATGCACCTATAAGCTGGTTTGCCAACTGCCAAGAAGAAGAAGAAGAAGAAGAAGAAGAAGAAGAAGAAGAAGAAGAAGAAGAAGAAGGAGGAAAAAGAAGAAGAAGCAGCAGCAGCAGCAGCAGAAACCGAGACGCTTCATTACCGTTTATTTCCTGTATCTGTGTCACATGAGTTTCTCCACCTCCCCGCCCTTTTAGGAGACTGGAAGCAGGTCTGAGTGTATTTTTTATTTTATTTATTTATTATTAATAATTACATTACATTCAAAGTAAGGCACAAAAGAAGTAGCCCAACATAATTAACAAAAGACAGACAACAAATATGCACAGCGCCAGGGGTTATAAACAGAGTTTGACACAATCAAAGACAGATTTTTTTTTTAAGTATGCTACAAATTATATTAATATTTTAAAATTCGGAGCACAGATTGAGGGTTTTCACAGCTTTACTATTACATGAGGTAGATAATGTTCTGATATAGGACTCTGTTTTCTTCTTAAAAGTACAAGAGTGTATTCATTTCAATGGACGAAGTGAACGAATTCACAGATTGTGACAGATTCTTTCACTCCATAGTCACCGAAATAAATATTGGACCTATTTTTCGAAAATGTAGTAAAGTTGAAAATGTAGGTTTAACTAACTTACAGTGCAGTCCAACAGTCCCTTCTTCAGCCATTCCTCCATGGTTATTTCATATATCATTAGTCATTTAAACTTGCAGCAGCAATTAAAGAGGAAATCCAAACAGGCATATGCTGGGAGTATAGCACAAAATTACATTGAACAGCACTATGGGGATAAATTATTGGTATTCACGGATGGGTCAAAAGATCCTGAGACTGGACACACAGGAGTTGCAGCTTTCATCCCACAGTTCAGGGTTGCAATAAAGGAAAGAACCACAGATCGTTTATCAGTATATGCAGTTGAACTTGTTGCTAATCTGATAGCATTCAAATGGTTAGAGGAGAACAACAAAACAAATACATTAAGTGCATCAGATAGTTTGGCAGCACTCACAAGCATTAAATCTGTGAAATCATGTAGACAAGATATTTTATTTGAAATTCATCATGTAATACGCAGTATGTACAATAAGGGCTTGAGTGTCTGTTTTGTTTGGGTTCCTGCCCATGTAGGAGTAGAAGGAAACGGGGATGCTGACATACTGGCAAAACAATCACTTTATTTGCAAACAGTAAACATTAAAATCCAGTTAAGTAAAGCAGAAGGTAAAACAATGATAAAGAGTCAAATGCAAAAAAATATGGCAAGAATATTGGGACATGAGTGACACAGGAAGACATTTTTATAGCATCCAGAATCATGTGGGTTTGGGAAGGAGGGTGGGCAGGAACTGAAAGGAAGAGGCAATCATTACTCGTCTCAGGATAGGACATACTAGAATACATCAGACACTACACAAAATATGTAAACATCCAATTGGTAGATGTGCACATTGTGGAGATTCAACATCAGTTAAGCATGTGCTGTTACAATGTAGAGGATATGAGGAAGAAAGAAAGGCTCTAAGAGCAGCATTATTCAACGTTAGGAACCTACTCAGAGAAACATCAGGGATAATGTTTATTCATCTAATCATGTATCTCAAAACACAGGGTTGATAAACAGAATGTAGTCCTTTTTTCTTTTCTTTTTTTAATTATTATTTTCCTGCCATTCTAATGCTCCACACTCCAGTCCGGTAGGTGGCGGTAATGCACCTGAAAGCTGGTTGCCAACCACCAGTCCAGGCAAAAGAAGAAGACAGTATAGAGGCTCTTTGGTAGCAATAGAAGAACAAGTAGTGGGTGGGTCTATACCGTGATGTAATGGCTGTATGTACCTGCAGGCCGCTGCTGATACTATCTTCGTTGTGCTTTGTAGACGACATGGTGTCTGATAAAGAGAGAAACCTCCGGTTTGTTGAGGTGTCTGTATGAGTCACTGACCGTGCTGCTGTTGATCACAGGGAGAAAACAGCTCGTCATCAAGCCTGAGCTCGGTGAAGCGCTCGGTGCCGCCCCCTCTGCTAGCACAGCTAACGCTCTTACCGACATTCACTCCGGGACAACGTTAGCAGTTGGTTAGCTTGTAGAGGTTTTAACAGCACCGGTGCCAGGATGCAAGAGGAGTATTTGTGAAGACCGCCCCCATCTACGGTAAGTCCCAAAACTGGAACATGAAACAGTCTGTTATTCGGTTAGCTAGTGTAGAAGCTAAGTGAATGCAGTTAACTTGACAGGCTATGTAGCTTGATGATTAGCATGTGTCCCCAGTTAACGCGCTAACATGTTATCAGGCCTGAGGAAGTTACAGCAAACTGATTGACAACACAAAGACCGGCAGTCACACATGTGACTGATTCAACAGAGTTTACGGCGATATGTGACGCAATAGGCCAAACGTTAGACAGCTGAACAACCTGCTAGCAGAGGCTGCTATTTAACTTTATTCAGCTGGATCTTCCTGAGTCGGGTTGTGCTGATGGTTCATGTAGTTTCATCATCCGGTTTATGACAGAGGACATCGTGACATTTACCCGCGTTACCTTCAGACTGTGTGAAAGGTCACAGCTGGGTACCGGCCTTCACACACAGGCCTACAGGTAACAACTGATTCACCTGCAGCTCAAGCTTTGTGCTTTGTCAAGTCACGAGGCCGCAGTTTGTTGTCTGTGTTGGAACATAGTGGGAGGCGGTCCTGCTGTTTTGTGCAGTTACTGACCAACATGTAGGAGTCCGGTCATGTCACATACCGAGGAGAAAGACAACAATCTCAAATTCCTGATATTTACATTTCAAACCTAGACAAGCATCTGAAATACAGAAGGTAAAGATCTTTTTGATATGAGTTACTGACCAACATGTAGGAGTCAGATCATGTCAGATACCAAGGAGGAAGAAAAAAACTAAAATACCTGATATTTACATTTCAAAATTAGACAAGCGTCTGAATTATAGAAAATAAAGATCTTTTCAATATCACCAACAATGAACGGGCTCCTCCCTCAGATTTCATGTACCACTGGAAAGTGCAGATGAGAGCTGATGTTGTTGAGACTGTTTCAGGGAGTGAATGAGAACAGATTGTCATGTTGTAGTTATTTACCCTACAAACAGCCTGTAAAGTTATAAAATTATTTTCCAAATCATGTTATTTCCTCAAATCCCAGTGGCCATCCTCTTTAACCTGTGTATCTCTGTATTTACATATTTGTAGTCCATGACCTTCTTCCTCCTATGTTAATGAGCCACCTCTACATTTTTATAATCTGCAGTAAGATGATTTTATTAATTAAATTTCAGTCAGCAGTAAATATCACCAGTGAACATGTTTGTGCACATGTAAGTAGCTGCCTCATCTGGACTAGAGACCTCTGGCAGTCTTCACTTCGTATCCCTGTCCTTGAGAGCTGCTTCCACATCAACAGAGAAAGACTTTGGTTATGTCCATACAACTGTGTTTTAATTTTAAAACAGTGTTTTCAAACTAAAACAATGACACACACAACAGTCACAGAGTCAGTGACAGCAGAAACATTCAAACTCCACACCACATGTACTGTGGGAACTTGTTTGTCAAAGAGCCTGAATGTAACAGATTATATTTAAAACATAAATACCACATATGTAAATGTTTTTGGATTTCAACGAAGCATTTTCCTGACCTTCTTCTCAGGCTGTTTTTGATGTCTCACTCTGTGTCTAGTGCCATGTCTCTGGTTTTCTCACGGCCCAACACCAACGCAGTCCATAGCAAGAAGGACAAGAGACTGATGGCAGAAGTGAACGCATCGCCGCTCAAACACTTTGTCACAGCAAAGAAGAAGATCAATGGGATCTTTGAACAGTTGGGGGCCTACATCAAGGAGAGCGCTTCCTTTCTGGAAGGTACCCATTCTCCTCTGAAGGCACTTCAACATGTTGTACCACATAAACACCAGGGGCCAGAGTCATAACTGATGTGTACACACAAAAACCATGAGGATGCCATTTCCTGCTCATAAACTGGTCTTTATAAACACAGTCTGTGTCACCTCACACATTCCTTTCACCATGTGAACATACAATTTTCAAAGAGATCCAAGTTACAGCAAAGTGGAGATACAAACTAAGATGAGACACGAAGTTTAACTTGAAACAAAATAACCAACTTCACGGAGCTTCATTCATTATCATCATAAGTTTTAGAACTTTACATAAACAGAAATAATTGCGTTTAATGTCCTGAGGAAGAATATACACAGTCTTCAGTGTAGACTTGCTGACACCTAGTAACAACTCTATAACCCTACTGAGTTGGCCCCTTGATCCTTTGATCAAGGAGATACTACTTACCTTATCAACCACCGTCTGTCCCTGTATAATACCCCTTCTTCCCTCTTACATCACCAACGCTTCATCGTCATAACAACATCTTACCTGTAGATATTTTGATTCAGTCTAGGGGCCCTGCCTGCCCTACCTATGGATATGCTGATCCAGCCTAAGAGCCCCTCCTACCCCCCTGATCACTTGAACCAAGGTGTTACACTGCAAGACCTCTAGAGAACATTACTTTTTGTTTCTAATTTCCTTTCCTGTCGGACCAAATGTCTGTAACCCCAGGTATATGCAAATACAGTTGTCCATTCCATTGTCTTCAACTGTATAACTGTTCCCCTGCCCTACATCTGGGTCAGTCTACTGCCTCGGACCCGCTCTGTGTCAGTTGGCTCACCGTATCCTGGGATACCAATAAACTTGCATCACTACAGTAAACTTGAAACTAAGGACTTGAGTGAATTTTCTTCAACAGTCCTTATTATTTATTGTGAGCCATTTTGTAAACTGTTGGATACAATTTTGATATTGACTAACCACAGTGTTAGAGACTGTCCTGAGCCTCATTAAGACTCTCTAGTCCCAATAAATGAAGATCAGAGTAAAACAGGACTTTACATTAGAGTAGTTGTACTAAAGCAAACTGATGCAGGTTTTTACCTCAGTTTCACAATTCACAATCAGTAAAAATGTTCTTCTGTCTCGTCTTTCTTCTCTGTGTCTGATCACTTGTGGTGGAGACAGTGTTTTTATACAAACTGATAAAGGGAGTCTTCATCTATTTATGGAAGGAGAGGAAATGATGCTCATGCACATGTGAGTGATTTTTATAATGCTGAACCATGTGAACGCACAGCTTTATAAATCTGATGAAAAGAATCTGTATCATGAACATGTCTGGTTTTGTGCGGCACATAGTTTTAGTTATGAATCTACAGAGTTTTATGGGTCTGACGTTAGCTTGTTTCTTATGTGTGATCACCTGTCATGGAATGAGAGTAATGATCAGGACATACACGTGCCAAACATGATGCAGTCTTCATGCTGCCAGGTGAATTAAGAGGCTGTCTGTGGAAACTTCTCTCTGATCAGATACTCACAAAAATGAGGAGCTGGACCCGGTCACCACAGAGGAGCAGGTCCAGGAGGTCTGTGGTTACCTCACCAAGGTGGCAGGGATTGGAGAAGTGCTCGCCCGCAGGCACATGAAGGTGGTCTTCTTTGGGAGGTATGTACATCTGGTTCTTTCCCACTCTAGTTCTTCTTCATCTTTGTTCCTTGTTTTCTGTTGAGTTGGACCTGAAGTGGAAACCTGTGCAGAGCGTGCAGGTTGCGTGGGCTAAGGCAGGCTGACAGGTTTGTGGTTTGTTTCACAGGACCAGTAATGGGAAGAGCTCAGTGATCAATGCCATGCTCTGTGATAAGGTGCTGCCGTCTGGAATAGGACACACCACCAACTGCTTCCTGAGGGTGGAGGGCACCGATGGCAACGAGGCCTTCCTCCTCACTGAAGGCTCAGAGGAGAAGAAGAGCATAAAGGTGAACAGAGCTCGCTGACAGGTGTCTCCGCCTCCACACCTCCAGTCTGAATGTGTAACATGTCGTCCTGTAAACAGCTGATGTGTTTTTGTTGACAGACGGTGAACCAGCTGGCCCATGCTCTCCACCAGGATGAGGACCTGGATGCCGGCAGCTTGGTCTGTGTCATGTGGCCGAAAGCCAAGTGTGCTCTGCTGAGGGATGACCTGGTGTTGGTGGACAGGTCAGACACAAGTAAACACTAACACCAGGAAAACACTTGTTGTGTGGCGTGTGCGTGGCAGCTGTGGAATGTCTTGGTTATCATTTTGGCACCCATGTTAATGAGTTAGAGCGACACACTGCCTCATGACTGTGTGGCATAATCTGGAGATTTGGCGTCTCACCTCTTTTTCACATGCCCAGCAACATCACAAAAAACGGACTTATTTCATTATAGCTTCAATGTCTAGGCTATGACACAGACGTGAAAAAAATAATATATATTTTTTTACCGTTTTAGCAGTTGCATGTGGAGCCAGAGATGTTTTCTGTCAAAAATAAATCTGGAATTAATTTATAATGAAGAAGTTTTCCAACATTCAGTAACTTGTAAACTCTGTGTAGAGCAGTAGAGCTGCAACAGCAGAGACACAGCAGGTGTGAACACACACACAGCACAGGCAGTGTGTTCCTGTTGTAGTAGTAGTTAAATAAAAATATGTCATTCATATCAATTCATGCATCATCTAATTTCATCATGACATATAGGCCTGGCCTACAGGAAAGAACAGTTCATGGTTAATCTATCTAATATTGTGTTAGTCATAATATACAATGATTTATTGTTTGTGTTTGTTGAATAATACAGAAGATAAGGAACTTAAAAAAATAATGCATATTAAATCCTAATCGCAATATTGGTAAAAAAAAAAAAAAAATTGCAATTTGATTATTTTCCCAAATTGTTGAGCCCTAGGTGGCCTGGAGGTTCATCTTGTGATAAAATATACTTGTCACAAGTCTTAACAAATTTGGTCTGTTATGCAAAACGCTACAAACACGAGAAAATGTGGGCTGAGATTCACGCTGTTGCTCTACCTGTGTGCGTCCAGAGTAATCAGTACTGATCACCTGTGTCATAGGAATCAGTGGAATCATCATCCTGGGTAAAAACTGTAACTGGCTGTACCCTGGTTAAGGTTTCCACCATAATGAGGCTGTATCATTCTAACAAGGCAGAGGTGGGACCCTGCATGTTGTGGTAGCCATGATTAAAATGATGATGATGATGTTTGTCAATCTTTGCAGCTGACTCACTCACCTCCTGTTCTTCCTCCAGCCCAGGTATCGATGTCACCACAGAGCTGGACAGCTGGATCGACAAGTTCTGCCTGGATGCTGATGTGTTTGTTCTGGTGGCGAACTCTGAGTCCACACTGATGCAGACGGTGAGACGTGACAGCTGAGTCAGCATGTTGACAATGAAAAACACAGAAACGTGGACGGTTTATGATGAGATCTTTATATGACATCAGTGTATGACGTGTGTCCACAGGAGAAGTCCTTTTTTCACAAGGTCAACGAGCGGCTCTCCAGTCCCAACATCTTCATCCTCAACAACCGCTGGGACGCCTCCGCCTCAGAGCCTGAGTACATGGAGGAGGTCAGTAAAAATAGACTGAGAATGTTAGAACATGGTGGAAGGTTTTAAACTTTGTATAGTGTCTACAGCCTAATGCTGCAGGTAGTAGTAGAATGTCTAGAGGAAGCAGTTTGTTGTCTTGTCATGATATTCATGTGTATCCATGAATCAATAATTTTATAGGTTGGAGTGACCTGAAGGATGACGAAGCTTCTTTAAGGGTTAATTGACACCAAGAGAGCAAATGCAGTGAAACTGACTGCTGTGTCTGATAAATGATTCTGATCACATCCTGTACTGACTTGGTGTGTCAGGGGTGGAGCTCTGTTTACACTGCAGTCCTCTGCATTAACGTAACACATCTGGCAAATAGACAGTGTCTGGTATATTGTGAGGAAACAAATATAAAAAGCAGAGTGAGTGTGATGCCCTGATCACATTGCAGGGCTCCAAACTGCAACGCATATGCGACTATATTTGTGAGTGTGAGTTAAAATGACACGTGGTCATTGCATGATCATTTTTTGGCTCAGTCGGTCTGACTACCTGACCTTTCATCAGAATGCAGGTGCAGCCGGGAACAGACAGTGACAGGGAGCTAACTCAGTACCCGTGATCATGGTATGAGGGCAATGTTGTGTGTAGTGTAACGAAGTGGTCAGTTCAGTGTAGACACTTGTAGACAACTTGTTACCAAGTCAACGCAGTTTAAGCTTGAACTCCTGAAATTTAAGCACAAAGCCTGCTGGGACTGAGCCCCTCCCCTCTTCTTTTCAAAGGGAGAACAAAATGGTCATTGGATTTAACTCTGCCTATAACAGAGCCAGGGGTTAAACTGCCCGGTGGAGCTGAGCTCCATCTCCTTCTCGTTCCTCCGTCTATCTTCATATCACACTAATATTTTCTAAATCTCCCAGTAAACCTAATAGCATGTGAATAGCATACACAGTCTCTAGACAGTGGGTAAAATCATTTTGCTCCGTGGTCAGTTTCGGTTGCTGCGTGGTAAGGTGCTGACAGCAGGGATAGACAAGACAGAGAAAGAAAGAATTCTTCAGACCGTCAGGGCAAAGTGAGAAATATCCAATAAATCAGTTATTGTCATTTATTCCCATGATGCTCCTCTCAGGCCGTGTGCAAGCAGGCAGGTGTGTGAGTGAGTTACTATGGTTACCGCGGCGCTGTGTGTTTCTGTCGCTCTGAAACTTTCAGAAAGATTCAGTAACAGATTTTGGGTCTGTATAGTTTTACAAAAATCATGAATGTTATCGTACTTCATTACTGAAGTCTAGTGACATAATTTTACATTTTTATTAAACACAATTAAAGAGGAGGAAGCCTCAGAGCCTCCTTCATGAAGAAATAGGCTATGTCTAAAAAAAGGGGCGACCAAATCATGGCTGCAACCAGTGAAAAAGTTAGTCTGGAGCCCTGCATCACAGATGGTGTACGTTATATCGGTCTCACACACTTTGTGAAAGTTCCACACAGCCGACATGTTGTTTGTTTCTGGTGGCCTGTCGCACGCCAACACAATGGTGGGACGGGACTACACTACACAACACAGGGCTTCTCTCAGCCTCAACCACAGGTGATCTGTTGTAAGGTGATTAAAGCATTTATTCTGATCCACCAATCACATATTTTTTAATGAAATTGGCCGAAATTGATCAGCGGCCGATCAATTGGGGCATCCCTAGTTGGCACCAGCAGCAGGTAGTCAGTGTGCAGAAATCATGTTCTTCTGTCTGTACATCCTTCCTCTGAATGTGATATCTGAAGCTGTTTCTCAGTCTGTGTTCTCCTCTCCAAATATCCAATCAGGAATTATTTAGATAAACTGACTAGGGCTGCACCTAAAGATTATTTGTTTATCGATTAATCTATCCATTATTTTTTCAATTAATCTAACTATAATTTTTAATTACTTGATTAATATAACAACGAATTTACCCAAAATAAATTTTAAAAACTTGTCATTTGTATTTCAATATTTTTGCTCTTTAATACCTTTGTGTTTTTTCTGATAAAATTGTCATTTTTAACAGTTTCACCAAGTGCTGCACATATTTAGAATCAGCATAACCTCAGCTAATAATGTCACTCAATAAAGACTTCAGTGCAGTGTAATAGGTTAATAGCCCAGAAAACGAAAGAAAACTAACATGGAATTTTTCCTTATTTTATAGATAAAAACACTAAACCATAATAAAGAAGGAAAAATTCAACACAGAAAATTGTATTTATTTGTTTGAGTTGTTCCAGAGGTGATTTGAAGTTTTATCTTTATCTGTTCATGAGATAAGCTCATTCTCTGGAGCAGTATTTATGGGCATTATTTGTCTGCTCCTTGAAAAATCAGCTCCAAATCCTCCGCTGCATTAATATCTGACTGTCACATCCTTCTGTCTGTTTTCTGTCACTTCGATAAACTCTAAACAACTTTTCACTTTGATATCAGAGTAAAACAGCATTGCTCACGTTCAGTCTGGGTATTATGCTTATGCGAAGGCAGGCCAAGCCTCTGAGTCAGACACTGATTGGCTGTGACCTCAATCATTGGAGCCAATAGGAATGTCTGATTCAGTCATGTGATGCTAAATGTCACTGGCAAAGAATGCCTAAACACACAGACAGAAAGCAGCAATGTGCCAGAAAAACTACTCCAAATATTTAGAAACTTTCAATGTAAGTTTCTCGATCTAAGTCAGTGATGACGCACGGACCATCAGGGGCTTGGTAGAAAGCACCGATCGTCTAGTTTAAGGAGAAAAAAAACGACATGTCTTTAGCTCAAACGGTCGCGGAGCAATGGCGCTCTACAGACAATGTGAAATTTGGAAGCGTATACGCTCCCACGGGCCTTTAGGGTTAAAACAAACAATTATGACAAACAAAGTGTGCACTGTAGGGCATTATTCCCCAACAAGCCAGAGTTCATCCATGTTCATTTCTGTGTCATATTCATGTAAAGTCCACACAATGAAACTATTAACTAGTGAAAGGTGTTATGGTATCATATCAGTATGACTATCAACAAATGTTTCCCAGTCTATTTCTGCTTAAATCATGCATTTATCAAGTTCTATAGAGGAGATTTAAAAAATAGCAATATATTTTGTGTATCGTGATATAGCCTAAAAATATCGTGACATTACTTATAGGGCATATCGCCCACCCCTACCTCAGAAAACACTTTTTAGCCATTACTCAAGACTTCACACAGTAATTATGACAAAATTTCACACAAATCATATTTCATAGTTCATATTTTCTATGACTCTAGATAAACAGGGATGTAACCTGAAACTAGTCTGAGTGGAGGAGGCAGACAACCAGGAGGAGGTGGTTCTAGTTTCTTAATGTTACACACCTGTCACTGTGAATGTGTTAAATGATAAGGGAACCAGCAGAACCAGTTTTCTGCACCCTGACCTTCATCTCTTAGGTTGGTGGTCAGGTGATTATGTCACTGTGTCACTGGGCCAACATCACTGTCAGAAGCTGTGTCCCTTCCATTACTTGTTTTAGTTTGTGTTCTATAAAGTGTACTGTTGTTGTGTCAGGTTCGCAGGCAGCACATGGACCGCTGCACCAACTTCCTTGTGGATGAGCTGGCTGTGGTAGACCGGAACCAGGCCAGTGACCGCATCTTCTTCGTCTCTGCCAAGGAAGTGCTCCAGGCTCGAGTACAGAAGGCTCAAGGGATGCCTGAAGCAGGTGAGCATGGTAGTTTCACTCTGACATAGGGGTGGGCGATATGGCAAAAATATCATATCACGATTTTTTAAAAATATTTATCACGATAAATTTATCACGATCTTAAATTGGAAAAAGAAAAACAGACAATTTAGACCAAAGAACCTTTCTTAACAGATTTTATTTCAAATAGTCGCAGTTTTGCCTGCATGTGCAAACAACGTAAAGTTTAAGGTAAACAACAACATCATTCTGGTTCGTCGTGTTACCACCCGACGTGCGAACGGTTTCTGTGCAAACTTTGCAGATTACATTTGCTTGCGCTTGATCAGTTGCGGAAAATCCAAACCAATTCCATATAATGGAGGTGGAATTTTTTTTAGCGACCGACTCCGTTTGGCTTTCAGCCATCGCTCTCCATGTGCTACCGCTACACACACAAACAAGGAGGCGGGAAGGAAAGTGCGTCACTGCCCGTAATTCACTATGATTGGTCGGTCAGGTTGACGACGTCAATACGTCTGGTGCGTCGGTGCATCAGCATAGAACTGCAATTTATAGAATGTGCCCTAGACGATCCCACGATCTCTGCAGTTTGAAAGATCGTCTTCACGTTGTAATCCTTCACGGTCTAATATCGTCATATCGCTCACCCCTACTCTGACATTAAAAACCTGGAAAAGCCATGGAATTTGAACATTGTGTTTTCCATGGGTGGAAAGGTTTTGGAAAGTGAAACCACAGGAGGTTCTGTTTGTTTTATGAATATACCTTCCTACAAAGTAATCATATAGATTTTCAATGCACTTCACTGTTCCACTGTTGTGTATCAGACCAAACATCAAATTTTAAACAAGTTTGAGCATTCTGTTTTTAATTTTCAGAACAACAAAATCATTAATTTAGGCAGAAATCAAGAAAAGACCATGATCATTTCCTTCTAATAAGCCTCCACTGATAAAGATACTGAGTTATCACCCAGGCTGACTCTGTATTTAAGTGTCTTCATGTTTACACAGTGATCACAGAAGGTTCAGGCATGAAACTGGTTGATGGATTTGAGGAAATCCAGTTTTATTTTGTGTCGCTGTGATCAGAGATTTACTTTTATCAATTCTAGAACTAAACAGCTGTGCGACTGGTTGATACAGTATATTTAATTAAATACCATTACTGAGGTACCAACTGAAATGTGCTGATGCTTTCATTTGATACATAAAACAGAAACACTCTGTGAGTAGAGACTTCCTGATTTAAATCTAATATTTTTTTTATTCTAATATTTTTTACATTAATTTCTCAGTTATGTTCTAAAGATTATATTTGTGTGTTGAGTGGGTTAGTACAGGGTAACATGGTGTGGTCCTGTTTCAGGTGGAGCCCTGGCTGAGGGATTTCAGGCCAGAATGTTTGAGTTCCAGAACTTTGAGCGGAGATTCGAGGTGAGATCCCGATCCACGAACAGTTGGAACCAGATTTAAATAATCAGATACATTCATGAACGGTGGATGTTTATCCAGTTTATTGATCACCGTGACTTTAAAAAAAGTTTACAGCTGACTGCATGAGCCATCCTGTCTGCACTGGACACACACATAACTTTTCGTGTGTGTGTGTGTGTGTGTGTGTGTGTGTGTGTGTGTGTGTGTGTGTGTGTGTAGGAGTGTATCTCTCAGTCTGCGGTGAAGACCAAGTTTGAGCAGCACACAGTGAGGGCCAAGCAGATCTCTGAGGCTCTGCGTCACATCATGGACTCTGTTCATGTTGCTGCACAAGAGCAGAGGTGAGTCAAGGGTTAACTGTGTGAAGACACATTCACACTGTTGCACACTGTGTGGACAGCGGGTTGTCAGTTAGTTCTTGTGTGTGTGTGTTTCAGGGTCTACTGTCTTGAAACCAAAGAGGACCGTCAGGACCGGTTGGAGTTTATAGATAAGCAGCTGGACCTGTTGACCATGGACTGTAAGGCCAGGATCAAGAAGATCACTGAGGAGGTGGAGAGACAGGTGAACCCCATCATGATATCATAACTCACCTGGGCTTTAAGCTCTCTCCTGTGTCTTAGTAGTGATGTGATGGGCTTGTGGGATCAATTTATTTCCTCACTTAGCAAAATTAAAGTCAGAAGTAGGCCAGTAAAAACACAGATGTAAAACTGAGGTGAACGCCTCAACAGGAAGTAGTTTTCACCCCGCTCTGTGCTCATGCTCAGGTGTCTAATGCCATGGCCGAGGAGATCAGGAAGCTTCATGTGCTGGTGGATGACTTCCACATGGACTTCCACCCTTCATCAGTGGTGCTCAAGGTCTACAAGAACGTGAGTTTAAAACATGTTCAACACCTCTCTTACTCGTGAACTTGATTGGGCTGGAATGAGCTGGACAACATTCATCATAGTGACCGAAACTGAGGAAACAAACCTTTCATTAGCATATTCCACCACAGGTACACTCACCTGTGCACCCACCTGTCCATACTGTCATATCTGGGTGTTGCATACCAACAGCAGGTTGGCCAAAGAGTAACTGTAGAGTCAGTTGTCTATGAGCACATGCATTTGGCTCAAGCCTACAAACAGACAGACATTTGTCCTTCATCCAAAGCCCAAAGAATCATGGGTATTAGTACTGCTGTTGAGTTCTTTGAGGTGACTGTAGCAGTGTGGTGGGTCCATCCTCTGTTAAGCTGCGTTTCGACCAAAAAGTCCAGGTACTTTTCTTCAGGAGCTAAAAGGTTCCTGTGGCCCATTGTTGTCTGCGTTTCTACCGTGGCCATAAGTCCCGGGAAGATTATGCAAAATTATTACTTGACATTACATTATTCAAAGCACTTTGAGGAGATAACATGAATGAAAATACGGGACAAATTGCCTCCCGTATATATTCAGTAGCCTACAGGACGCGGTATTTTATTTTAAAATACGGGACGATCCCGTATTATACGTAACGTTTGGCAAACTCAGTCACTCCGGTTGTTGTGGTCCTTTATTTTCTTGAAGTCCTGTTTCAGTTTTTTTTACCTTCTCCTGGACCTGTTTCGTGGTGTGGAAAATATCGAGCCTACATGCCCGGTGCTTGCTCACTGCGGACCTTTAAACATTGCGGGTGAAATAAAATGCAGCGAGTACTCAACCAGAAATGTTCAGCACTGCAGACCCCATCCCCCGAAGTTCCTGAACCTTTGGAAAGTACTACCCCCCGACCAGGGACCTTTTTGGGGGTCTATCAGTTACCCTGGAACAAAATTTAGACCCTGGTTTCTGTAGTGGAAACGCGCATAGTTCCTCAAAAAGTTCCTGATTCCTGGGGAAAGTTCCTGCGGTGGAAACGTGGCTTTAGTTAATGACCGGACAATCCCTGCTCTGTCGGCAGTCAGCTGTGTGTCAGCTTCAAATTTGATGCAAACATTCACTAGGATTCAAGGAAGAACTGATTAGATTTTGGTGGTCAAAGGTCAAGGTCAGTGTGACCACACAGAACACTCCTTAGCTATTACGTAAGACTTCAGAATAGTTATGACAAATGGTTAATATTTTATGACTTTTATGACTCTGGATAAACATGGATGTAAGCTGAAACTACTCTGAGTGGAGGATGTGATTCTGGTTGTTTTCATTGGTTCTTGTTGTGGTTATTTTTGTTTTCTTTTGTTGTAGGAGCTCCATCGGCACATAGAAGAAGGTCTGGGCAAGAACATGTCAGAGAGGTGTTCCACCTCCATCACCAGCGCCCTGCAGGGCACACAGACCGACATGATTGGTAACACTGTTCACAGCCACCCAGTCTACTACTGTCACTGCACAGACCACAGTCTGCTGTAATGATTTTAACTATGAGCACAATACTGAAAAGATTTTATGCTGAATAATGATGTTGACCCAGCTGCGTAGAGCAGACTACGTAGCCAGTCTGCAGCACGCTCCCTGTTTCCTCCATTGTACTCTTACATTTCTAGACTTTACTGCTGAAGGATTGAGTTTATATGCTGATGAGAAGTCGTCAGTTTTATTAATATATCTCCACATCATAACAGAGCACGTCTAGACCGGAGTCTCTATAATACTATTTGCAGAACCAACATCCCCTATGAGCAGCACCTGTTGACAGTGAGTGGAACTAGGCTCAGGTTGCACATGGTTGGTGATTTAATTAAAGTTGACTGTGTATTTAAAATATGTGACTGAGAGAAAAAGAAAACCTTCTGATAACAGAATCAGAGGGAGAGAAAAATGATTTTCCAAACACAAGCTTCCCTTGTTTCACAGAACAACAAACCTCAGCCACACACCAGACTCGCAGATGTTTCTAAATTATTCATCATAGACGTTAAAATCAGTGGCTGAGCTCCAGAGATCCTGTGTAGAGATGGAGAAACCTCCAGAAGGAAGGACAACCATCAAATCTGTTTCCTACAGACTCTGAGAACTGAGACCAAACAGTACAGTCCTGGTCTCATCAGACCAGAGAATCTGGTTTCTCTCATTCTCAGAGTCCTTTAGCTGCGTCTTTACAAACTGTCCCTGAGGAGAGGCTTCATCTGGACTCTCTGACATGAAGACCAGATCAGTGGAGAGCTGCAATGATGGTTGTTTCTGGAGGTTTCTCTGGAGCTTATCTTTATTGACTGATGTCAGTGTGATAATTCTGTTTTTCCTTTTTAATACATTTGAGATAGACAGATAGATATGTACTTTATTTATCCCCTAGGGGAAATTCATATAATTGCGTACAATAATATTGCATATTGTCTTAAAGTTTTTGCTTTGTCATGATGGAGTATTGAGTGTAGACTATAGGGGAAAATAAATGAAAGCATGAGATGGTAACAATTTGTGAACAAACTGAAGCGTCTGAAGGTAAAATGTTAGAATCAGAGAAGAAAACAAACGAGCCACGGAGTCGTTCCTCTAGAATTACTGTAGCTTCACATCCCACACCGACAGCTGTCTAACATTACCATGGAGTCACAATACTGCAAAGCTGTTCACCATGAACTGACTAATACTCATGTAACTGTGTGTGCGTGTGTGTGTGTGTGTGTGTGTGTGTGTGCAGAGGAATCCTCTCCTCTCTTGCCCAGCCCAGTCAGAGAGCAGGTAGACAAGCTGGTTCCTCGTCAGTGCTTCAGCCTCAGCTATGACCTGGCCTGTGACAAGCTCTGCAGTGACTTTCAGGAGGACATCAGCTTCCATTTCTCTCTGGGCTGGACAATGCTGGTCAACCGCTTCCTGGGGCCCAAGAACACCCGGAGGGCCCTGATGGGCTACAACGACCAGGTAACGCCCCCTCTCCCCGACCACTGCTGAGGCACCTGGATGTTTATTTGGATGTTTCTGCTGTCCTCAACTCTGACTGAAATCTTAACTGAACCGTCTGTGATGTCACCTGCTTCATTTAATATGACCTTGCATCGTGAAACCTCTCAGAAACCAGTAGAATAGCACTCCTTCACTTCACAACAAAAACAATGAAAGGTGAAGTTAGCAGTGATGCTCTTGCTCCTCTGTCATATTACTGTGTTATTGATGCAGGTTGATCATGAAACTATATAACGTTAGTTAATGTTTAACGTTTGCACAAGCCAGTGAACTGATTTTTCACCTGACAACTTTAGTAGCACTAACACTTACATTTATGTTCATTACAAACTTCACGTTTGCTAGACTAGCATTAGCTTCCAGTGTTTCCAATGTGGGCTGCTCTTACCTTCAACATCGTGGATGTAAGATTCAATCCAGTTGCTGTTTCCTTTTTTTTTTTTTAATCCTCTTGTGGATCCTCGCAAATTCATCTGCCCATTAATCAGTTCGGTCGAATAAAAGTGAAGAAAATAAGTTCAGTTTCAGTTCCCACAGGATTTTTCTTCAAGAGGTTTCCCACCCTCAGCGTGACGTCAGAGGAAAATGGCCGCCATGTGAATATGGTCTATGGTCTAGGGACTCAGAGATCAGATTAGTACTGTTACATAAAAAAGAACGAAGTTCTCATTAATCATACGAACACACTGTAGCATCATGTTTGATCTCTGAGCCGGTTCTCCCTGCAGGTCCCTCGGCCCATGGCCCTGACTCCTGTCAGCACCAGCATGCCTCCATTCCCACAGAGCTCCATGACCCAGGAAGAGCTGATGGTCTCCATGGTGACAGGTCTGGCCTCCCTCACCTCCCGTACCTCCATGGGTGTCCTCGTGGTTGGTGGCGTGGTCAGGACACACACACACACACAGACACACAGACACACAGAGTCATCACTGCTACCATGGTAACCCTGGTTTGACGTGTGTAAAAAATCTGTCATCGGGATCAGGTTCACCATCATGTTTCTGCTCAGTGTGTTTAAGCCTCATGGTGCGCGTGTGTGTGCGTAGATCTGGAAGGCGGTCGGCTGGCGTCTGATCGCCCTGTCGGTGGGCCTCTACGGGCTTCTCTACATCTATGAGCGGCTCACCTGGACCACCAAGGCCAAGGAGAGAGCTTTCAAGAGACAGTTTGTGGACTACGCCAGCGAGAAGCTGCAGCTCATCGTCAGCTACACCGGATCCAACTGCAGCCACCAAGTCCAGCAGTGAGCCTGTCAACTAACCACACACTGACTGTCACCTGAGAGCAGCGTGGTGCTTTGTTTAGTCACTGATGTGACAAACCTGCAGTGACTTTGTGTTCTCAGTCTAATTAATATCAACCACAGTCTTTGTTGTTGTGTTTCTGACTGTGTGTGTGTTGCTGCTGTGGTTCCCAGGGAGCTGGCTGGTGTGTTTGCTCAGCTGTGCCAGCAGGTGGATGTGACCCGTCAGAACCTGGAGGATGAGATCACTGACATGAACAGGAAGATCGAGCTGCTGGACGGTCTGCAGAGTAAGGCCAAGCTGCTGCGGTAAGCACCTCACCACAGTGTAGCACACACAGCTGGACAGCAGGACAGGTGTGAAGATATTGCACCTGTTCATATTACAGAGAATAATTTGTCTTGTATTGGACTAGTGAAGGACGTTTCACACTGTCCTCACTATCACCTTAGAAACAGCTGGTCCAGGGGTGATGTCAACACTCAGCTCATGTAAAAGACATTCTGAATCAAGACATTTCAAGTAGAACATGATGCTCTGAAGTAAACACACTGCCTGTGTTGTGTGTCTCTGCTGCTGCAGCTCTATCTTTCTACATAGAGTTTACAGTTACGGAATGTTGGATTAAATATCTGATTTATTTTTGACAGAAAACGTCAATAAAATGTCTCTGTCTCCACCTGCAGCGGCTACAACATATATTTATATTTTTCATGTCTGTGTCATATTCAGATTCAACCTAGACATAGAAACTATAGTGAAGGTGTCGGTTTTATGTAATGTTGCTGGTATGGTGTCACTGTGACATCATCGGGTCTTATCTCTGTCTGTTTCTGCTGGAGAAGTGTCACACGTGAAAATAGACGAGAGGCCAAATCTCTAGATCACGTGACACAGCCGTGAGGCGTGAGACGCAGTGAGTCCTCTCTAAGCTGTTAACAGTGAAGCTGAAAATCAAGGCGTTCTGCAGCCGCCACACATCAGCGTACTCCTGGTCTTACACTGAGGCAGCAGCATCAAACAACTCAGTCTTTCACATTAACACTGTGCTGCTTTCAATCTTTGGTCAGCTAATCAGCTTCCTTCATACTCTGACTGTCCACTTCCAAGGTTATAATCTCAGTGGAAACGTCTCCATCGACCTCTGACATGTCTACAGGTGGTCAGTAGAGATCAGTAATTGTACAGACTGAAATACATGTGTCCACTCTTTGTGTGAGCTGGCTGCTGGTTTTTATTTTCTTCTACTCTTTGTTTTTGTTTTTGAGTTGTAAAAAAGGGGTAAAAAAAGTGCCACTCGTTCTTTGAAAACACAGTAAAAAATGTAAGAAGTGGAGTTGACTCTGTTCTGACCTTCACCCACACTGAGCTGTACAACAAAGACAGGGCTCCTGTCTTTCATTCAAATACAGCCTGTTTCTCCATGAAGAACGCTCTCAGCTTCCNTGGTGTGTTTGCTCAGCTGTGCCAGCAGGTGGATGTGACCCGTCAGAACCTGGAGGATGAGATCACTGACATGAACAGGAAGATTGAGCTGCTGGACGGTCTGCAGAGTAAGGCCAAGCTGCTGCGGTAAGCACCTCACCACAGTGTAGCACACACAGCTGGACAGCAGGACAGGTGTGAAGATATTGCACCTGTTCATATTACAGAGAATAATTTGTCTTGTATTGGACTAGTGAAGGACGTTTCACACTGTCCTCACTATCACCTTAGAAACAGCTGGTCCAGGGGTGATGTCAACACTCAGCTCATGTAAAAGACATTCTGAATCAAGACATTTCAAGTAGAACATGATGCTCTGAAGTAAACACACTGCCTGTGTTGTGTGTCTCTGCTGCTGCAGCTCTATCTTTCTACATAGAGTTTACAGTTACGGAATGTTGGATTAAATATCTGATTTATTTTTGACAGAAAACGTCAATAAAATGTCTCTGTCTCCACCTGCAGCGGCTACAACATA